AGGTTTAACTATACTTTACTACATAATATATAATTACAATTAAATTTTGAAAAAAGCTATGTAAAAATATATGTAATAAATATAATTGTAGTAATTAGCCATTTACGACGCAATGCTTTACCATCGACGCACTAAACAAGGTAGGGTAGCTGAGTCTAATAAGGCGAACGATTGTTAATCAATTTACAGGCTTTTTCTTCTGTCATTCATATATTAAAATTTTCATAATCGAATGATTTATCTCGCAAATTGAAGGTGAAATAGTTTCGTCCCTCTCACAAAGTACCCTATTAAAAGAGAATAAAACAAAACCAAAAATCTATTTATACTGATCGATGTCATAATCAATTGTTATCATAGTTGCACGATAAAAATTTTGCTGCATGATAATCATCAAATAGACATTTAGACAGTAATGGTAAGGGAGAGTAACTAACCTTAAATCCTGTAACATAATATCTAAATTATTCCCCACCCCAATGATTAAACGTTAAACTATTTAAGGGAAAAATAGGAATGTCATGTGATAAAATAAGTTAAATTATTCAATTAACGTTAAGATTGAATATACATTATTCACATGTAATCCTAGATTGCGCAATTTACATCTTGTATGACATCCCATCTTGTACAGCCGAGAAAATTTCTTGCAAATATTTAACACAAGCCATGATACAAAATTTTTTTGGTTCTAACACTACTTTGTACATTTTTATTGAACTACCATGTCTCAAGAAGAAACTTTCCTTTTTACTTCAGAGTCAGTAGGCGAAGGTCATCCCGGTATGTAAAGTATTGTAACAAAGATTTCTTACACAAAAAATATTAAAAATTCTATTATTTTATACATTTATGAAAAAGACAAAATTGCCGATCAAGTTTCTGATGCTATTTTGGATGCATGTCTCAAAGTGGATCCCTTTTCCAAAGTTGCGTGTGAGACCGCCACAAAGACTGGCTTAATTTTTGTATTCGGCGAAATTAACACTTCGGCCAGTTTAGACTATCAGAAAATTATCCGTGATACTATTCAGCGTATAGGTTACGATGATTCCTCAAAAGGATTTGATTATAAAACGTGTAATGTTCTTGTTGGTATTGAACAACAATCCCCTGATATCTCTCAAAGTCTTACACAAAAAAGTAATCGACTTGAAGATATCGGTGCTGGTGATCAAGGTATCCTATTTTTTTTTTTTTTTTTTTTTCATTCTCTTTTTTTGGCTTACTTTTAATTCTCTTCGATGTTAGGTATCATGTTTGGCTATGCAACTGATGAAACTCCAGAATATATGCCACTCACTCTTGTGCTTGCTCATAAGCTTAATAAGAAAATGGCTGATCTTCGTAGGGACGGCACTCTTTCCTGGTAAGTTTCATTCGACTGATTCTAAAATAACATGATAATAAATAATTTTTATCCCTATTTTATAAATTTACCTTAGCTTATAACTTTATTTTTTGTTATCGTTAGGCTTCGTCCAGATTCTAAAACTCAAGTAACCGTGCGCTACAAAAATGAGAACGGAGCTTTGGTCCCTCTCGAAGTTGATACTGTCGTCATCTCTGTTCAACATTCCCCCGAAATTACAACCGAACAACTTAGACAACAGATAAAAGAACATGTTGTTAAGTCCGTTATACCTTCTAAATACCTAACAGAGAAGACTATTTATCACATGCAGCCTTCTGGATTATTCATTATCGGTGGTCCTCAAGGTGACGCCGGATTGACTGGCCGTAAAATTATTGTCGACACTGTAAGATAACCTAAAACAATCCTTTTTTTATTCTCTTGAATCTTTCATTGTTAAGAATCTATTCTTATAATTTATTTTTATTAATGCAGTATGGTGGTCATGGTGCTCATGGTGGTGGTGCCTTTTCTGGCAAGGATTGGTCTAAAGTTGATCGTTCTGCTGCTTATACTGGTAAGCAAATACAATCATCCCTCGTTAATATAAATTTTGAAATTTTGGTTAATATTTGCGATTAATAACAATGTGAGGCTGTTATCAAAGAATTTTATTTATATGATTTTGTTTAATGGAAATATTGATAA